AGATAGCCTCAATTCGGTGGAGGTAGGATCCCTCGGGCGATAGCCTCAAACCCAAGATCACAGACCCTCGTGCGCACGTCTTAACCTCACTGACCAGGCCCTGCAGCCGCCCGAGCAATGGCCAGTTTCTATGTTCGACATAATAAACCAATTGACCTTAATCACCGATTAGAATTAATTAATTAACTTAACTAATTCATTAAAGTCTTGGATTTAACCATTCGGTCAAACCTACGTCGACAGAATATCCAGTCAAAGCCTAAGTCAAACGTGACCTAACCCAAGTCAAAGTCAAACCTGTTCAGTCAATCCATAATCCTCAACAATTCAATTCAAATAATCAATTTAATTCAATTAACCAATTTAGCCAAATTATAGCATAAACACATATAACGATCCAAACCATTAAATCTATTCTAAATGCTATTAACTTCATAGTACGGACCTCGATTACGCCGAAATCGAATCGATAGCTCGAACGGAAGACAAATCAATGAAATCAAACGAACGGGTCAAATTGAGTCAAAATACGAAATCGACCAATCAATCCGGGGTGGAGGTTAATCTGCCGGCGATATCAATCCGGGGCAGCGGCTGGATGCGGCGACGGTGACGGACGCCGGCGACAGTGGCGTAGCGGCAGCTCGACGGCGATGAGCAGCGACTGGCAGCGCTGCAATTCAACGGCGAGGAAGGACGCCGGCAGTGGAGGCGACGTCCAGCGCTCGGCGTGGCGGCGCTGCACCCGACGGCGATGATGGCGGACTTCCGGCGAAGGCGAAACAGCGGCGCTGCACTTGACGGCGATGATGGCGGACTTCCGGCGAAGGAGAAGCAGCGGCGTTTGGCGACGTCCAGCGTTCGGCGTGGCGGTGCTGCAACTCGACGGCGAGAACAACGCCGGTAATGGAGGCGACGACCGCAGCTCGAGGATTGGGAACCGTGGTCGGCGGCGCTGATGCTGGCGGTGAGAGGCTGACGGAGTTGGCTGGTGTGGCGAGGAGGCGGAGGTCGGACGGCAGGGATGACCGAATGAAGAAGAAGAAGAAGAAGAAGAAGAAAGAAAGAAGAAGGAAGAAGATAACGATCGTGTGGCTGAAATAGTTTAGGTTTTAATTAATGATCCCATTCCTAAAAGGATTGGGCTTCGGACCCAAAATACCTGATTAAATGGTCACAACATGAGCTTCATAACTCTGATTCGCGAGCCCTCTGAACCGACGCGATCACAAAAATATTTCCTACGAGATGACATAAAAGTTGGGCTTAGAATCCAATTTATAATTTTAACCCCTTTTTGGGCCCAATTCGTAATCAATTGCTCTAACAATTTAATTAATTCTTTTGGGCCAGATTACGGGGCGTTACAGTTCGGGCTCGGCTTGGATGGCCGAGCCGAGCAGGACGGACGAGCGGAGCGCAGAGCAGGGCAGGAAGGACGAGCGGAGCTCTGGGCCGGGCAGGAACGTCCAAGCCCGACACTTATTAAATTTATGCTGATGTCAGCCCTAGGCTGGTGTGGGGTTATTCCCCATCAAATGTATAAACCTCTGAATACGTTATCAACGTACGCATCGCATCGTGAATGACGAAGTTGATCTGTACCGGAAAAGTCGCACGGAAGTGAGATGAACCTGAAGAACGATTCGTGTTGATATATGTTGAACAACATTTGTGAAGTCGGTGTCAAAGATCCTCATGTGGCCTCAACGCGAACCAATCGTTGACGCAAACGAAAACGTTCAGAATTAATAAACCCTATCGTTTCTTCCAATCTCTCTTGATTGTTTTCAATTGTCGCAACTGTTATATACCCTCGTGATATCTGTTATCAACGCACCTACGCAAATAAGGAATCCTAATAAAGAAATTCCAACTATTTGTAGAATGAGTCAAGAAACTGTGCGCGGATAAGATAACCAAGTGCAAAACAATGGACACACAACGGTTCATATTGAGATATCGAATTTCACTCTTGTTGTCCGAAAAGAACCAGACAATCAAAACATCCACCAAGATATTGAAGGTCACTCCAATGCTTATTCAAGTATCAAACCCGATATTAAGGGAAAGAAGCCTTTGACTAGGACTTGTAGTGCCCACCCTCGAAAAGAAGAAAACTTTTGTCAACTCAGAACAAATTAAGAGTGTGGAAACATCCAAAGTGTAACACTTGTAGAAGACATCACCCAGGAGAATGTTGGATGACACGAGGATTATGTATAGGTTGTGGTAAATCTGGACATTTACGAAAGGAATGTCCTACAAACCCTTGGAAGACCAATGCCGTTGGCCCTGTTCAAAATCAGTCTACCTCAGCCCGACTTGCACCAGGAGGAAGTAACCCGCAAACAAAATCATGCATGTGTGTATGCAATGAAAGACCGTGTTGAAGAAAACTCTGGCGTCGTCATTAATATATTTCCTTATTTGATGATTTATAAAATTATCCACGTACTGATCCGGGATTTGCACTATCTAATATCTATGTAATTCCATGTTGAATAAACCTCCGTTGAGATTGAAAACTCAAGGATTCCTTAATAAAGAATCATTTGATCAAGTGTTTTCTCTTTGAATACCTACTTTGTTCATACGCGAATACAGAATGATCGACGAGACTCTGTATGAACTATCGTCAATTAAACAAATCCTTATCCTTTACTTTGTATCATGACTTATTTGATCATCTTAGAGGATCTATTGTGTTCTCTAAGATTGACTTACGGTCAGGATACTAACTATTCTCTGTTAGGAAACTTGAACAAATTCACGATCAAGAATCGCTACTCCTTACTTTGAAATGGACTCATTTGTATTAGCTATTAACATGAAAGATCACGATGTGGCACACCAACAGTGAAAGACTGAAGAATGAAGAAAATGTAGCTCGCACTAGCCATACAGCCTAGGAGAAGATTTATGGATAATATCATTGCAACACAAGATACAACTTGGATTACAAGAGGAATGTTACAAATGCAATTCTAAGTCTAATCTCCCAGGATTCACAAACTCATCATAACTAACCCCAGGTCCCAAGAAAGCTTTAGCAAACTCTAGTTTGTCTAAAAGCTCGTCAACAGAGAAAGAAGAAATAAAAAGTTTCCTCTGACTGGAAGCCATGAAGTTCTGCCTCACCGCATCGTCTAAGAATTTGAGAAGGTTATTGAAATAACCGTCAATGTTTAAAAGACCAATGGATCTATTGTGTAACCCTTCAGAAGCCAACGAGATCAAGGTGAACAAACCTTCCATGGTGTCAACTCCTCCGGGAAGAACAATGAAAGCTTCCACGGCATGATTCATCTCAAAATATTTGTAGTAATTACTGGAAACTGTGTGCTCTACACCGTACGTAGGTCCATAGACCCGTCGTGTTGCTAGGTACCCAGGAATGAAACCTCTAACAAGACCACCATTGGTAAAGACTGTTGAAGCAACAGCTCCTTGAAGGCCAACACTACCTCCTCCATAGGCAAGTTTAATTTTTCGTCTTAACAATTCTCTTCCTAAATCTACTGCAGTAGCCATAAACTTTGGATTTTTACCAAGAGAATGACTGCAAAGTAAACCAACGAATCTTATGGTGTAAGGAAGTGTTCGAGAAGTTCCTTCCATAATGTGAGAATGTGAGATACTCTTTCCATAATCGTGATACATATAGTCTCTAAAACTGGACCATTGATGGAAAAGTAATTATCACCAGCCAAAATACATACAGTAAAATGGATTCAAATTACTTGCAAATGAGAACGTACTCGCTAATATTATAGTCTGCTGACGATATGACGTATTGAGACTCTTGAACAGTTAGATTCGCTGTCCTGAAACACGTTCAAATCCGAGACGAAAAGTCAAAATGGCTATTTCCTAAGACAACGACCTCTTGAGTAACTTCCAAAGAGTGAAACATTGAAGGAAGAAAACCTACGATTAGTAAAGGTAATTCACAAATGCTATCTTGATATCTTATGACTCATATCCTTGAATTACTCAAACTTGATGTGTTAACTACACCCTTGAAACATCCCGCTTGATCAATCTTGAAAAGATTGAATTCCATTCTTTGTATCAAAATAATAAAACCACGATTCTTCATTAAACGAAAAGATGTTTTATGATACCGATCTTTGAAAACTATACCTTGTGGAATACATGACTCGATCACAATAGTAAAACTACCTTGACTTGAACATTATGTTGAACCTCTCTTTGTGGACCACAAAACAATCAATACAATTACGTTATCTCTGAAGATTATTATCGATGATCTTATTGACCAAACAAACTCCGTTATAACCCTAGCAAGGATATGTGTGTGCAACAACCAGAGAAGAAATGACATCACGAGAACAA